CTGCAATCGAACCTGCATCTCCTCTAACCAATAAAAAGCTTTCTGGTGACTTCAGAGACTCTTGATTAGGCCTTTAAAATGGAGGAAGCCACAGATCTTCCGATAGTTATTGAAACAATAAGACAGTTTTCCATTCAGTGAGTTCAGGTAACTGTACAGGTAACAGCAACAAGTGATTTGCCAGCTCTGCCATTCCAACCCGGAAAAGTCAAATTTATTTTTCTTCTGATTTGGCTATCACCACCGGTTACCTGGATTCTCAGAATCCAGTCCTGTTGTCTTCAGCTCGTATCAGTGCAATTCAGGACAGACTCTGGTCCTGCAACGGGGAACTGTACATGCTATTAGATTATGTCTTAACTAGAATATAATTCTGCTCTTTTCGTTCTGCGCATTTATTGCAAGAGTAAGACAAATCAGAAACTCACATTTTTCAGTAACGTAAGCAAGTGTACACACTCCCTGTCTTCTCAAAATGACCTATGTTTCCACCATTGTAATTATTATGTAATTATTCACAGTTTTGCAAGCTCTTTGTGGCAAGAGACAAATGCCAAATCCAACAGCAATGAACCAGACTGTCACTCTCACACCTCTCCCTCATCCCCTTTAATCTCTCCCAGGAGTTTGGTCTCCTGACATTTTTAGAAGAGGGACAGACTCTGAGGCAGAAGAGCTTCCATGTATGAACAGCACTTCACCCTTTTGGGAATTTCTTTTTTAAAGTATTCCCAACACACGTGTAGGCCTACATAATAGTCTTCTTGCTTGAAAGATAAATTATGAAGTCCTAAAAACTCTCAGCTGCTGAAACTCAGAACCCAAGCCACACACCTTCCTCCTTCCGTCTCTTGCTTTTGCACAGGACATGCCACCAACAGCAGATGATTTTTCTCTGGGTGAGAAACAGAGAGGTGGCTACCTCCAAAAGCTAATTCAGCTCCACAAGAACAATCTCCTGATGCTCCCTCTGCAGTCAGCAGAGCAACGGGCACTTCTATATGAGTGTCACTGGTTACTTCCCTCTCCCCTCTCTCCCAGAACTACAGAGGAGGTTGGTCCCACCACCGCAGAGCACCCCAGGAGTTAACCCTCTCGAGCCCCAGACCCTCTCCTCACCCATCTCTCCTTCCGGTAGGGGGCTGCTGTCTCAGCACCTGAGCTCATGCATCTGTCCTCAAGAAAGCAGCAGTGAAGTGACAGGAGTAGCTCAGCAAGTTGTCCTGGACTGAGAAGTAGCTTTCCTCTCTCACAGCAGTTTTCACGTGCTTTTCCCGGGGACTTACCGAGAGTCTGGGAAGGCTAAGAGTTAAAAAACACTGCGATCCTGTGTTTAATTATGTGATAAATAAATGTGGATAAGGGTTGAATGCTAATACATTATTTTTTTTTATAGGTGTTGTAATACAGCTACTGTCTCATATCGCTGCAATGAACAAATGTGAAGGAAACTTCCATGACCCGACTACCATCCTCACCCTTGCCCACACTTTGTGAGGGCATACCTGGCTCTTCACATTTCTCTTCATGTGGGGATTCATAAAATCTCAAGCCGTCACAAATAAGAAGCTGAACAGTGTGGGAGCAGCCCTTCACCTGATATACCCCCAGTGGAACTTACATATACTTACATGAGCTGAGGCTCCCAACTCCTCCCGTATTTAGTCTCACATCTCCAGGCTAGTTCATTTAACTCCTCGTGTTCTTCTGGAGCTTCCAGCAACTAAAATAAACTTCTTAACATTTCACATCAGTTCCAGATACTGCACTCAGCATACCTGCCAAGGCTCAGCTGTTCCTTTTGTATAGATGCAAATACATCAAGCGGGCAAAGAAATCTGCTTTTTGGCCAAATTTGTTCTGAATCAATCAAATCTATTTTAGAATGATGTAAGCCCTGAAAAATGCTGTGGGACTGTCTGAGTCTGTTAGCACTTTTAAGTAAACAAACAAAACCTGCTTTAATTTAGACAAATTTCCAGGCCACAATTGTCAGGACACCACTAAAAGCTCTTGGGTATTAAAAAACAAAATCTAAATAAGAAACAGAAGCTACATAAGGAGGAGGGCTCTGTGGGAACCTTCCTGCCTTTGGTCTGACAATCCAAAAAGTGTGTTCTGGTTTCCCCCAGCATCCGGTGCACTCCAGCAAGTTTCTAAATAAAGTTGAGTAAAAACTTCACTCAAAGCTTCAGTGTTCCTTAAATGGCATGTCTCATCTTTGCTGGCAGAGCTGCAGCTCATGTTAAAGTAAGCAACCACATTAACATTTTTCCTAAATGCTACTCTACATATTCTAAAGGCTCAGCTCAAACGTCGCTAAAATAAGCACTTAAAATAACAACTTCAAACACTTGCATGAGGCTGCATCCATTCAGATGAGCTATTTTTTTCTCACCTCACTCGATTTCCCTGCAGTGTTCATTAAACAAAGGATGAGCCATGCCATGACAGGAGAGAAGGGCTGGATTTCAGCTTGAGGACTAACATAAGTCAATTAGAATCTATTGGCTCCTAATTACAGGATTTGTTATTTATCCCAGGCCGCCTCCCAGTACAAAAAACCTGGTGAATGATGCCTTCTCTTCGTGATAAACATTCACTGAGATATATGTGGAGGCTGAAATGCAGTGAAGAGTGCTTCTTATTCCTTTACTCTGAGCAAGCAGTGCTCAGCTTTCTCGCAGAATGTTTAATCTCCTTTGCAGCCTGAGTAAAAGCAACCTGTTTTACACAGAGCATATTCTGTGAACACAGATTCTATCTACTGGAAAACCTGTAAAATAATATAAGCTGCTACACTAATTGCAAAAGGTATTTTTTTTTTAAAAAAAATCTTCAAATTAAGATCACATCAAATGAAATTGCTATGCAACGCTAGCATTTTACAGATAATGTATCTCGTGGAAGTCTAACACAATTATGGAAAATGAAATAAGGAGCATGACAATTATAATTGAACAGTAGTCCCTGTGATACGTTCACGGAACAGAGAACTAAAAAATCTTAGGAATCCAGGGAAATGATATATGGGTCAACTTAAAAAAAAAAAAAAAAGCAACACAGAAACAATGGGAAGCCCAAACCTCGCTTTAAATCCATATTCGAGCATTTGCATCAGCAATTCCTTCTACAACAAGCCCAGCACCCAGCATTTTCACTACCATCAACACCTCTTTGAAGTTCAGACCTCCTCAAATGTATTCTTCTGCTTTACATGAATTTCTGTCACCACTCTCTCCTTCCCCATTATCACCTGCACCACAAAAGGCACAAAAATTCACATAAAATCCCACAGGAAATGCAAAAGATCTATATAAAGTTGCAAAGTGTCTTCTGTCTCTCATCTTCAGCTTTTTACAAGTTTCTCAAACTGCTGGGAGAAGAGAGTTCTGGTCACACCATGGAAGGAGGGAGGACGTGAACCAAAATAAGGAACAACCACCACCATGAATGCCCCAAAACAGCCTGAACAGTGGAGCAGGCTGCTAACTTCGTCCACGGGCGACGCCGGGAACCTCTCTGTGGCTGCATCAGTGCCTACAACACGCGTCCTGAGGGGGGGGTTTGTTCAATACTTTCATTATCAGTAACAAATGCCCACCACTTGCCTCATTCTGGCTGGTCTAGAATTAACGAGCATTTTCAGAAAGTGCGAATGAATCTGGGATCCTGTTTTTTTAAAGGGATTCTTTACAAGTGCAGACACCTCACCCCGGATTTAACATGACCCTCTTCTACCCCTAGAGTGTGTGCGTGTTGCCCTCGAGTGCTCCGTTTGCCAGAACCCCCCGGGCTCTGGGTCCAGCACAGACCTTCATCGTTCAGCACAGACCTTCATCTCCCTAGCAGAGGGCTTGGGACAGCAGGTGAGACGCCGGAACATCTGGGAGGACAGCTGAAGCCACCCAGGGCAGCGCCGCCACTCCCCGCAGCTCCACCCGCGTTGTTTCCTGGTACAAGGGAGCACAGTATCAAAGACAGTCCTATCTAAGTGTAAAAGGAAAAAAAAAAATTACAGAATCACAGAAAAAAAAATACTAACTTTCTATAGCTCAGTGAATCTTACTTCTTATTGTCAAGATTTTTTTACTAACATATACAACTTATTTACCTACAAATTCTTTTTCCTGCCTATGCTGGATACTTACATTCACAAACATATTAGTCATCGCTTAATTATCGCTACGAAGCCTTATTAATATGTATGGATAAAGAGCTTTCTGGCAGGAATGCATTTTAATGAAGTCGCTGAAAGGCAGCACGCAGTAATTTCTAGAAGGTTATGCCACGACTAACAATAGCGAACAGACTGAAGCAGCCCAGGGACAGGATGAGGTGTGGAAGGGGAAAAAAAAAATCAAATTCATTTTAATATTTTAATGATAAACTTAATTAGAAAGCGTTTAGGCATTCTGACGGAGCAGCTACAGCTTTGGAGGGCTCACGGCCATTCTCCAGAGGAGCGGCGTCACTCAGAATGCCGCCCGGCTGTCTGTAGGACACGGAATATGCTGCGTGGAAGGACCTTGAAAAGGCCAAATTTTGCGGCCATCCTGCATGTTAAGGGCGAGCGAAGCACCAGCGTGTCACTTCTGGGGACACAGCCGGGTCTGTACCATTGGATATTGCCCCACAACGTGTAATTCATGAACCAAACCCGTGCGCTGCGCGTGTTAAGGCACTTGTTTCCTCCAGCAGCGCTTCGCTCTGCTCCCAGGGTGATCCTGGCGCCGTTGGCCCTTCCAAGGCGACGGTTCGGTTCGTGCAGCGTCACCTCGGGCCTTCCCGGAGGGCGCGGGCCCCGCCGCCGCCATCGCCAGGCCCTC